ACCTCGGCGCCCTCTGATGACATCACCCGCGCCGCTGCCCCTCATCCCAACGTGAGGACCACGAGGCCGCCTGCGCCTCTGCCTGTCGCATCTTCCGTTTTGTCTTGTCACGATATATCTGTGTCCGTGTTTCTTCCCCCAACCAATCCCTACCTCTGCTGGACAACTGCACCTAGCCCCTTCCACTCAGCTTCCTTCCCTAAACTCCTTGCTGCCGAGTCCAAGGCTCCAGGTTCCTTCACATTTGCAGCTTCTGTGGCGAAGCTCATGCTCGCTCTGCCTGCCCCTGCCGGCCCTTCCACACTCTCTCCACTTTCAGCATTCCCAAATGACTACTGGCTTATCCGTCTACCCCAATCGATATCCCCGCTCTTACATCCGAACTGCTCCGTCACCCTGACCCCTCTTCCACTCACATCTTACTTGATGGCCTTTCCTTTGGGTTCTCACCAGGCCTGTGCACACTTCCTTCTTCCCCTGTCTTTTGCAAAAATCTCCAGTCTGCTACCGTTGATCCCCAGTCTGTCAATTCCTTGCTAGCATCCAAAGTCGAAAACGGTTTCATGATCGGCCTACTTGACTCTCCCCCATTCCCTGTATACCGCATCAATCCCATCGGCATAGCGGTCCATGAGTATTCTGGTAAAAAAAAAAATGCCTTATAATCAACTTGTCAGCCCCTCATAACTCCCGCGTGCCAACTCTCAATAGCCTCATTCCCAGCTCGGACTTCTCCCTTCACTATGCCACAATTGACCACGCCATTTCTCTCATCAAAATCGCAGGTCCGGGTGCCTGCCTCGTTAAGACCGATATCTCTAGAGCCTTTCAAGTCATGCCTCTCGACCCAGACTTCTGGCATCTCTTTGCAGTCCGCCTAACTTTCGGATGCAGGAGTGGCCCAAAAATGTTCGGTACCTTAGCCGAAGCTCTCTGCTGGATCCTCTTGAATAACTATAGGCTTCCTTTTCTCGTCCACCTTCTTGACGATTTCCTTACCATAGACTTTCCTCACGCCCCACCTGCAAGAGCCTCCTCCACACTTATTTCCATCTTGAGGAAACTAGGGGTACCTCTCGCCATGGACAAAACAACCGGCCCCTCTCACACAATCCAGTTCCTTGGGGATCACTCTCAATTCCATCAATTTCTCCGCCTCCCTGCCTCGCGACAGGATCGACGGGATCCGGGTGTATATCTACCTATTGTTCCACCGAATTTCCCTCTTTGTGCGAACTTCTCACTCTGCTCGGCCACCTCAATTATGCTATGCGTATCATTCCTCAAGGATGGCCATTCATCTCCTACCTTCTCGACCTCGCCTCTTCTATGTCCTCTCTTTACCACCACGTAAGCCTTTCAGCCGGCTTTTCACGGACGCAGCCCCCTCAATTGATTTTGGAGGCTATTGCCAAGACCAATGCTTTTTGGCCTCTTAGCCTCCCGAATTCTCTTCAATCCCTCTTGCTGACCAGTCATCAGCCTTATTTGAAATATTTCCAATTGTTGTTGCCACTTTTCTTTGGGGCCACAATTGGAAACAAAAATCAGTCCTCGTTCGGTCGGACAACTCCACAGTAGTTCATATAATCAACAAAGGAAGGTCTTCATCCCAATCTATCATGAAATTTCTCCGCCGCCTTAAATGGATTTCTCTCACACTCCAATTCATCCTCGTAGCAGCTCATATTCCAGGCCACCTTAATGAGATAGCTGACTCTCTCTCTCGCTTTCAATTTCAGAAATTCAGGAACTTGGCACCAGATGCAAGACCGAATCTATGCACAGTACCTCTTTTTTGGAACTCGTGTTCCTCTGAATCATCCCTTCCATCACTATCTCTAGCTGGCCCAGCAAACTACCCTCTCAGGGATTGCCCCTCGAACTCTCAGTTCTTACTGCACTGCCTGGAAGGGCTTCCAATCCTTCCACCTCTCCGCGAACATAAAATTCCCTTCTTTCGATATTCTCACCGTATCATCCTTCGTTTGCTATTGCAGAAACTCACTCAAAGTACAGGTATCCACCACCAAAGAATACCTCTGCGGCATCCACTTCTGCCATAAACTCCTTTTCGGCAAGACCTGTCCATCCCTTATCCACCCTCTAATTACTCTCCTTCTTAAAGGCTTTCAGCGATCTGAAAGACCACTTCCGAACCAGTGCGCACCACTTACCTCAGACGTCCTCGAATCCTGCATCTACGTTCTCAGGTCGGGTTACCACTCACCCTGGGTCGACTGCACTCTTGAATCTTTATTCTTGCGAGCATTCTTCGGCTTCCTGAGATGCTCCGAACTTACCGCTGCTTCCGCATCCTTCAATCCTTCTTCTCAACCCTGCCTATCCGAAATCTCTATCTTATCTTCCGATACATTGACCTTCTATCTTAAGAAAAGCAAAACCAACCAACTCGGGTCCGGCACCCTCATTTATTATTTCAAACTCCGTTCCTACATCGGCCCATACGAGCCTCTATCTCATTAAGCGCATCTTCACACCTCTGCCAGAGCTTTACCTACCGATCCTCTGCTCGTGAACGAGAGGGGTCTTCTCGTGACCCGCGACTGGTTTCTCTCTCACCTCCACGACGTCCTTCCAACCTCCGGATTCCCTCCCGAACGATTCTCCGGTCCCTCCTTCAAATCAGGGGCCGCTTCCTCTGCCTCTCGCCAAGTTGTCCCCGAGTATCTCAAACAACCCAGCTGTTGGTCCTCTGAGGCCTATCGCGCAAACATTAAAACTAACCCCGGTATCCTCAAGCAGGCACTTTCTCTCCTCAGCTGAATTAGTTCAATCATTGTTTTTCTGCCCTGGTGATGGGGGGTCCCGCTTGGTTCTTTTGGGGGGTCCTATCGTCCCCCCTCCAATGGCCGGGAGGTTGACCCTCAGCCAAGCAGGTTAAGCCAAGTCTTCACATCCCAATAAATGATTCTAATTTCTCCCAACCTTTCGGCTGCTGTCATTCCTCGGGAAACTTTATTTGCACTGGCGAGCTGAAACAAAACAAAAGAGGTTGAGCTGTGTGGGTGGAGAGGTGGAAACAGACAGCGGGCCTGACGCCTCCACAGCCACAAAAGAAGCAGCTGCAGGAGTCTGACCTCCTTCGTCTGAGCCTTTCTTCAGGGGTTTGTGTAAACGAGACGCAGATCGCCAGTCCCCGAATCCCTGTCTGGGATGCGCTGACCCCGCCAGGCCAGCAGGCGCCGCTGTGGAGACGTGTGGCCCCGGCGCGCGGCGGTTTCAGTTTTCAGTGCGACGCGTCCTCTCGCCCCCCAGCCATTCAGACGGCCGTCCGGCTGCAGGCGGAGGGCAAGACGTCTCTGCACAGGGAGCTGAAGCTGCGGCGCAGGGAGCAGCGACAGCAGAGCCCCCACGCCAGAGAGGAGCCGCCCGGCCTGCAGGTCCTGCAGGAGGAGAGGGGGAGGCAGGAGCTGGAGCAGGAGCAGCTCGTCAGGGTGAGGAGGACGGGCAGGCCGAGTACAGTCTACACCCATAGACATTTACACAACACGCATACATACCCATAGATGCACACTTCCAATCCTTCCACCTCTCCTCTAACATAAAATTCACCTTCTTTCGATATAGTGGGAATATCATCACACACACTCGCCCATACATAGAACTCACACACCCATACATTTGTGCAGTGGTACAATGCGTGATGTGATGTGTGCTCTGTGCTCCAGAGGCAGCAGGAGCAGGAGCGCCGCCTGCAGGAGGAGCAGGAGCGTAAGAGGCAGCTGGAGGTGCAGCGCAGCCTGGAGAGACAGCTGGAGGAGGCCGAGAGGGTGAGTGCACCTGGGAGCCCAGACGCTCACCCCAACACACACTGGCTCATTCGTCCTCGCTCACTCATTCACAATCCTAACTAATCCTAAATGCCTTTTTTTGTGCGATCGCCCCTCCGTGATGGCGCAGGTCCGTGAGAGCATGGCGGCGGAGATCGCCCGGAAGGAGCAGGAGGCTCGGGGCCAGCGCCGCAGGATCGAGGAGCTGGAGCTGACCCAGCAGAGCCTGGAGAGAGCCCTGAACGCCGAGATCCAGGCCCGGCTGGAGGAGGAGACAGCCCGGCTGGAGCAGGAGAGGTCAGGCGCTGTGGCTTTCAGAACCCCACTCTGGTATTGCACAGGCTAAGTAAGAAAGCTTGGTTCTGGAGCACATCAAAATTAATCTTTATTATCTCTCTTAAAGAGGCTTCTTTCACATAGAATAATATTCACAAGTATGTACTGGAATTGCTCTTTAAAGAAGAATAATGCTTACAATGAACACGCAAGTCTGAACCATTGAGATTGAAATGAAAGAACGGTAAAATGTAGACAGAAGCAACTGATTTCCAACCTGATTTAACAGCTGTGACAGAGAGGTGGTCAGCATGGCCTCCTTCTCAATAAGTTCAGTTACACAGACACCAGGCTCTCACCTGTCCTTAAAAGCTATAAAAGTACAAAAGGGCACAGGGCTCAGCGGCAGAGAGGTCAAGCACAGACAGCCCCACCGTCTGATCATCTGTCCTCTTTGTAACTGTGTGCGCCTGTGTCTGTCTGTGTGCGTCAGGCTGCTCAGTCAGGAGGAGGAGAAGCTGCAGCATCTCAGCCTGTTGAAGCAGGAGCAGGACCTGCTCTTACAGCAGGCCCAGCTGGAGAGGAGTATGCTGGAAGCTGAAGTGGCAGACAAGGTCCAGGCCTTTGAGACGGCCTCCCAGGAGCTCCAGAGGCTGCGCGAGTCACGAGAGAGGAGCAACCACGACCTTCAGGTGAGGGGCTGAGGGACACGCACACACACGCCAGGCTGCAGCACGTAGTTACATAAACAGCACAGAAGGGGAAAAAAAAAACAAGAAAATGATTTATTCATTTTCACATGCAATATCTGACAACCTTGCACCTAATTTCTCTTCTGCCTGTTGTTTGGTAACATTAGTGTCTTGTGTTGTTTTAGCACTATTATCACTATTATTTGTGAGTAGTAAGGATCTTGACAGGAGCTCGATTAATTTTCCAAACCTTGCTTGTGTCACTATGAGACCAAGGCTCGATCACCATGGCGTCACGCTAGTGACATACAGACCCAACAGAGAAAAGCCCTCTGTTGCTCCCTCTCTGCTCGCAAGAGAGTGGCACTAATGCCCACCACATGCGAGCTGGCAGTGGTGCATTATTGGAAACACCAAAAATGTTTTTTCTTTACCAATAAGACCAGTTGGAGCCTTTGTTTGCAGGCAAGATTATACATACATGAGGCTGATATCCACCTTTTGACATTCTCCCAAGTGGCAATATGTTATTTTTGTTTACCATACTCATCCTTAATCATTTGTTTCTACAAAACTGAAATCCCAAACTTGATTGTTCAAATCGACGTTTCAATTTCATTTCAGTTTTTCATTGACGTTCTCATGTACAAGGTTTCTTACACCAATTGGCAGATGTATTTCTCACATTGCGTTACTATAATTCCAATAAAATCCACTTGCATGTTGGCTGCCTCAGGTAGTTTTTACACAGTTCATTCCTAGTACAACTGTCCGCCTGCTGGGTGTTTTAATCAGCAAGGTCTTCACGCAAGCCGGTCAGCTGTGGCCTTAGGTTAATATCTAATTTTCCATTTAATATAATTTAATTTTGTTTCGAGCCCAGTTTTGCTCTCCTGTCCCAGTATGGATCTGGCCTCTGTGTTCCCTAGCTTTGTCACCCTGTTCTGTGCAGGTCCTGTCTCAGCGCAGGGACCTGCTGCTCGGTTCAGCAACACTTTCTCAGTGGCAGGAGCCACCCTGAAGTGTATTTTTGTCCTAATACAGTACACGGTGCAAATTATAAACGGATAAGGAATTTCATGAAAAGGGCAACAGGTGACAAATAATTCTGACTTTTTTTCTCTTAAACGGGCAAGGTGGGCCTTATCCACTTCCTTTGCTTGGTCTGCTCTCTCTGCCTCTGACACCTGGCCTCTGCCCCTTGCCCTCCCCCTGCAGGTGGCCCAGAAGAAGCTGCGCAGGGCCAGCCGCCATGTGAAACACTGGAACGTGCAGCTGAACCGCCTGATGCAGCCCATCGCACCGGGAGGTGAGGCAGGTCTACGGCAGCCAGGGTGCCGTCAGTGTGCATCGCCTAGTAATCAGATCAATCGCCCGTGTAGCAGTCTGACTCTGGCCTGGGGGTCGCTGCACTTAAAACAGACCCCTGCTGTTGCACCCGACGTCTCGGGAACAGCTGAAAGGTGGGGATAATATCGTCAGGAATGGTCCCTCATAAACCCTCTTTCATGGGGATAACATGGGGTGACCAGGCCGGACTCGGACTGTAAATCCCCCTGTAACGCTGCTGGAGTTCAGGACGGTGAGGGAGATGTGCCTTGTGTGTCTTCTCCCAGTGTCCTCTGGAAGTGGTCACTTCCGTCACAATTAAACCCATCTCAAACCTTCACTGACCTGTGACTCCTTGCATCCCTATACCAGCACAACCAGCTGGCCCCACTCACCACCAGTAACGGAGAGAGAGACGCAGCACTAGGGAATGGGACTGCCGCTTACAAATAAGTGTCTTCCAGCAAAGACGCATTTGATTTTACAGGACAAGAACAAAACAGGAGGAGGCCCTTCAGCTAATTAGCGAATCGACCTTGACTGAAACAATTGGCTTCAACAGCATGAATGGGAAACGTGTTTCAACCTCCCACCCCCGTTTGTGTAAAGAACTTGCCCATATGTTTTGTTTCAAGCCCATCTGTGTAACGTCATTGTCCTCTGGTGTGAATTATTTATTGATTTACTTCCACCTCCGCGCGCAGAGAGCAGTGCCAAGCTAACCCTCTTCTCCCCTGTGCCCAGACCAGCGCCAGCAGGCACAGAGCAGGGACCCGGGCACGCTGGGCAGGAGAGGAGCCTTGTCCAGCAAAGAGTTCATCGCCAGACGCTGTCCCGGGAACATGCCGGTCTCCGAGTGCAGCTCTTCCTCTGAGGATGAGGGGCTTGAAGAAGACCTGCAGAAGATCAGCCTTTCAGGAGCCAACAGAAGAAGGATGGAACCCAACGGCCAAGAGCACTAAAGAGGGATTTTGGAGTGGTGCCCCTCTGTGTCCACCGTGGGGCGTCTGAGGCTTTGGAGCTGATGCTGCCGAGCCTCTTGACAGGCAGGAGGGGTGGCTCAGGGACGCCCTCTGCAACGCTGGCACTTCCATGACATCAGCTCTGCGGGTTGGGGCTGATCCAACATCCATGTGAAAGGTGCCAACCCCACGTCCAAGCGTGTCTGTGCAATCGCTCTGTTTCCTGTGTAGTTTTCCCAACAGGCAGCAGACAGGAGGCTTGTCTGTGACCTAAGGGTCATCCCAGTGCTGCGACCCAGCTACCACCATGAGCTAAGCAAGCCAGCAGCCCTCGGGCCTGTGCCTTTATATAGGAGTACAGGCAGACGTTGTACACCAACATCCACTGAAGAGCAAAAGCGTCAGCTTTTCAGAGCTTGTACGGATTGTTGGAGATTCATCCGTGGGGATAAACAACAAGCCACTTACAGGAGATAAGACATTTTCAGTTTATTTGTCAAACAGCAACCCTTTTTTTATTAGAACTGAAACATGCTGTTCCTATAAAAAACAAAAATCGTTTCACAACATTGCATCACATTTCCTAACCTGTCTGGTGATGGAAACCCACCTGTGTGGCCTCTTGTTTACCTGCTCACTCAGGTTAGTTAGTTAGTTGCCTTGCAAGCTAAACCGTTCTGTCAGCAACAGTTCTCATCCTTGCTAATTTAATAACTTGTACAGTACATTGCAAAGAGATCCCTTTTCTATTCTTTGAGCTGAATGAAAAAGTAATCACAAATACTCTCTGAATTCAGAAGACAGAGTGGGGCTGAGCTCTCTGTAGCTGAAGAATATCATCACTTAAGAGAAAACAAGAATACATCAGTATCTCATTATACTGACAGCCACTGTAAGCCTTTAGTGTTTTCATGAATAAGAAATTAATTAACACATTTTGTAAACTATTAAAGACATTTTTCACTATAAGTTTGTCTTTGAAATTTTTGGTTTGGTCATAAAGTGTACTCAATATTCAGATGGAGCTTTAGTATTCCGCTGGGGGAAACTGGTTTTATGGCACAATCCAATATAGCAAGGAAGACCAACATTACCAACAGAGAAGACGGTACAATACAGTGATGCAGGAGATAAGAGTTAATTTACATTCAGAGAGAGATTGCAGTGAGGATAAAGGATTTGTTGAGTCTGTTACTGTTATACCTGGGGAACAGAGGTGTCTCCTAGACAGGAGCAGTGTAAATTCACAATGGAGGGGGGTGAGACACGCACTCCATAAAGCTCTTGGCCTTTTTTGAAATCATTTTGTTTGCAGGGGCTTTTTAAGTTGATTAAGTTATTTTCCAAACCTAATACAAATAATAGTCCTGATGTTCCCAAACTGTCAAGAGAGACCGTATGCTAAGCCCCTTTCAATAAATGACTTGTAGAAAAGAATTAAAATAGTTGGACGTTTCAATAGCTGACTTCCTAAGCCAGTAATCTGACCCTTTTCATAAATGTCACAACATTGTTATGTGAGGGTTTCTGCGCCAGCCATGGTGATTGTATTGTATCAGAATCAGAGGAAAATGAAGAAACAAGATCCTTACGAATGGCTTTGCTTGGTCAAGATGCTGATGGACCAGATTTAATGTTGTTGGGACAGCATTGCTGACCCCCCTTCTTTCCTTGTGTGCGAACTGCAGTAGGTCCTGTGTGCTCTGTGAGGTGTTGCTTCCCGATTCTGTCCAGACTCTTCAGTGGGGGAGATCTGTGGGTTAGGGCCTGTAGCTCACTTCAGATCTTCAGCCTGGCAGTTTGGGTCATAGTATCATAGTCGATTTCTTCCACAGAGAGGGGATGATTTGCAAATTTAAGGACATTTGAAAAAGCAAACTAAAAATATTGCACGAGATTGCAAACCCCTTCCACACACCTTACCTAGACCTGTGCTTTTCCTCATATTAATTCTCCTAAGCTGCCAGCACAGCTCTGCAGTGTTCATTTGAATGACCTCTCCTGATATTAGGAGATCAGCCCTATTAGCAGAGATGTTTGTGGGTTCATATCAAACAAATTTAAATAATTTCCCATTTAACACAGGTACAGTATTAGGTTTTACCTTCCTGAGAGATATGTCCTGCCATGCTAGTCTGATATCACCCACAACCATGATATTCTTCTTTTTCCCTGTCCTTAGCTTTCTCACTTTTCACCTCTTTCTGCCTTGTCCTACTGAGCTCTGTGTCCCCCTGAAAAAGAGCAAAGTGCATGTCTGGGACTCTTGGTTACCCAGTGTTTATTACTGGGGAACAACCTTCGGGGTTTGGGGGGAAATTGTGTCTACACAGAAAGAAATACAATCCAGAGCTACATCAGCACCTTCTTGGATATCCTCTGATGGGTCTTTAATGACATCCTACTGCGAGCAGTTGACACAACCCTGTAGACTTTCGGTGCTGCAGTTCAATGTGGATTTTTACATAAGTGGTAGACTGTTAGGAATTGGTGTTCCTTTCCTGCGAACAGGAATGTGGAAAACCTATAGCGTTAAACGTATTGCTATACTGAGTGTACTAGTTTCACCATATACATGATATCTGTTTTAAAACTTCTTTCCAGCTTGCAAAGTAACATCAATGCATATTTTATAGAAATACATGGATAATTCATTCCAAAAGTGCGCTATTGTCTTCTGTGGTCCAACCTCTTACTATTGAGTTCATTAGTAATCATGATCATGTCACCGTAATACTAGATCAATTGCTGTCCTTCGACAGAATCTGACCCTTCTGCACACTGCGTTCTCATTAAGTATTGTAGCTCTTCTGGCGCAGGGCAGGCAGAGCTGACAGCTCTGTGGAGCAAAGTGCTCAATCCTGTGATGCCATTTGAACGGCTCTGTTGTGCAGATGTTTTCTATGTTGAGCTCTGCAGCTTTGGTCCCATCTTTGTAGTCGGTGCAGGGGATATAATGGAGGGGATCCCCATTTCCTGTAAAGCGCTTTGAGTGGAGTTTCAGAAAAGTGCTATATAAGTCTAGTGCTTATAATTATATATTATATATAATCTAATAATAATTATTAGTAGTAGTATTAGTAGTAGTTGTAGTATTAAGACCTGCTTCTGGAAATCAGTGCAATGCTGGCACGTTTCTTTTGTAAGTGTGTGAACAGAGCAGTAAGCTGTCAGGTGGCACAGAGTCAGTGGTGAAATGCATGATGTGTGATGTCAGCAGCTCTCCCTGGCCCCGCCTGCACTCGAACCCGGCTCCTCGTGAGCTCCGGGCTCACGCACACATACTGCCCTCCTTCCTGACGGCTGATGACTCCAAACCCCCGAGAGACCCTCCCCCTGCCTCGCCAGAGCCAGACACTGTCCGGATCTCGGAGGTGGGAGACGTCACTCCTGCCACGGGCTCAGCGCTCCGGCCCTGTCCCAGCTGGACATGAGGCAGGGGGCCAGGCCGGTGCTGAACCCCGCAGCTCACAGCGACAGGAGGGATGGCTGAGCAGCAGGTTCTCAATTCTGGTCCTGCAGAATCCCTGAGCACCTCCGCCAGACTTTGCACTCATTCCGCCTAGCCTTTGTCCAGCCTTTGTAATTATTGCCAGACCATGAAAGGCCAGCGATAACTGCCAAGGCTTCAGACCTCCTGTTGTGTTAATTAATCATTGTCAAACTGTCTTTAAAAGATCTTTAAAAACTGCTGACTAAGCGCTTATCTGTGACTACCACTGGACTGCTGTTATGAAATTTCTCTGCTGCTACAGATGAAATTGATACATGTGGAAGGAAATGTGGTAATAAAGTCGAGAAATTATATCTTTTTCAGATATTCATAATAGTAATTATAATTATTATAATTATTATTATAATTATAATTATTATAGTAATTATGCCTTGTTTATTTTTTTAAATAAACATACTGCATTTCAAACAGTATAGTAATTATTTTGTAAAAGTTAATAGCTTCAGAATATTCGTGTCGTCTCAGACATTACAGTAATTTTACCATCTTTATCCAATCTCAGTATAATTTTTCAGGGTCTTTTATTTTGAAAGAACTCGAAGTCCCAGAAATCAGTGTTGTTTTCCGTGATCGGTACCCGGAGGAAGGAGTCTTCTACGTCACTGCCGGGCATGCGTGACCAAACAACATGGCGGCGCCCTTGGTGACTCGTGGGTAAAACCTATCCGAGGTGGAGGGAGATTTTATGCTGTGCAACCACATGGATGCTTGTAGTAAGTAAATGCATTACTGCTCTGGGGGGAATGAAGATGATCAATTATCCCTTGGAGGTTTCAGAACGTTCCACAGATCTTTAAAAAATTATTATTTTAGAAACGTATCCTTGGGATGTGAATCGCGGTTAATTATTTATCAGGTGGCGGAGCCTGTCTAAAAACGTGTATAAAC